GTGTATATATATATATATATATATATATATATATATATATATATATATATATATATAAAGAAAATGTTTTGTTTTGTTTGTCATTTCTTTAAAAAGCCCTTTTTCCTGTAAGGCTTTTTTTTTTTTATCCAACTTGGACTTAGACGTTTTAAGCTGCTTAAATAGAAACCAGCTACTGATAAATATTGTGATAGATTTACTCCTGATCTGAGTAATCTGTAACCCTGCCTGTTTTAAGAAATAACAAATCACTTTGAAACTCATTTTGCAACAGATAATTATTTCTTAAATTAGTTGCTGTTGATAGACGTTTGCACAGCAACCCCTACTATTGACCAGGAAGGTGCAGATTGCCAGTCTGCCCATTTGTTGGTGCACATGAGGAGATGGAGATGCATGGAAATGGAAGATGACTCATTGCCTGCCTATTTTGTTTTATCTGTGGCACATAGAAAGATGTTCATATTCTGAGGCAGAGTATCGGTCTGTGCGCTTGCAGTAGCTGAGTGTATAAAATTATATGTTTAGAGCTTACATTTGATCCAAAAAGGCTTCAAATTAGGAAGAAATTAGTTAGGCTGGAAAACAATCTAGATGCAAACACGGAATCATAAATTTTAATTGTTACAGTGAATTTTAATTCTGAACAATTGCACTGGACCAGTGGAAACAATGCAAGCCCAACAAATATTAAACGTGTCCAAGGTAAAGTAAAAAAAAGTAAATTGTGGAGCTCAGAACAATTTAAAATGGAATGACAAGAATTCAGGATTACACCACTTCAAGGAATTTATTTATCCATAGCCAGAGCTGTGTAAACACTAGGCCTGTCGCGATAAACAATAAATCAATTAATCGCATGATAAATTAAAAATATCAACCTCATTTTCATTTATCGGCTTTATCGTTTCTTCATGTCTCTCTTTTTCTACTGAAGACACTGGATGACAAAAATCTCAACTCCAGTGCTCTTCACTGACCCCTCCCTTTCTCTTTAAAATTATCCAAAATTGTGTTTTTGGATCGTTAAAAGCAGCTAAGCTGAGAAGCTAAGCTGCAAGCTAAGCTAACAGGCCGACCTCAGGAAAAAAACTCAGTTTTGTCGAAGCTCCAAAATTCATGGTTGAAACCTGTACCTTCGTGTAAAACGTTTTTTTTCTGCAAAAAGAAGCTGAGAACTTGTTTACATATTTTTTATTAAAAGCTTTGTGTGAAAAAAGCTATGCTAAATAGCTCAAACCACACCAAGCGTCTGCCATTTTGAGAACCGAAATAAAGGAAAGAGAGACAGTCCATGTCACATTAAAGGTCCTCCCTCCCATTTTTCTTAAAGAGAGACGCTGCTCGCTCCCTCACTATCCATCCTTCAGTTAAAATAGGTTTATACTGCCATCAGGTGGTCATAAAAGGTACTACACTTAAAACAAATTAACCAACATTTCTTCTTAAATTTGACAATAATCACTAATTATTGACCAATTTCAAACAATATTATCGTTTATAGCAATAATTTCTGAGACAATTAATCGCCCAGCAAAATTTGTTATCGTGACAGGCCTAGTAAACACCTTCAATATACAGATCCTTATAAAATCTTCACTAAAAACAGTGCATCAAATAAACTGTATTCATATACAAAAGTGTTAACTGTGGATTATTTTTCAGTAACATTTCAGCCTCATGTGTGCTTGAACTAAATTGTGACTATTGAATGTCATGTACTTTATTGCATCAGTGGGCCATTGGCCAATTGTTACATGATGGTTGAGATTATTGACGATCATGACTAATTCAGGAAAACCTCATATTGCGATGCCCATTTTTGAGACAGTTCAATATGAAATCTATTTGACTAACATCTTTCAACATGCATCTTTACAAAGCGGAAACATGCGATCCGCAAAACAGTTGGCCAGAATCTCCTGCTATTCACAAATTTTCCCTACAGGGTTTCCTGTTCTGATCAGCAGGGGCAGATGTACACCCTCATTACAGCGGCCGCAGTTGAAAATGAGAGCAAAATGAGGCCCATTACCATGCAGGCGTGACTAATATCCCTCAACAGACCCCTCCACACATGCACATGTACCTCGTGCACACACACATTACATGCATACACATGCAAGTGGAGAAAAAAAAGGCCAGATGTGCACATTGAGATGCTCGCTATTCAATAACATTAAACAGAAACAAAGATGGGAGGAAGTTGGTAATAAACTTTGTCTCCATAATACTGACCAGATCTTGGGCTGCTCTGTGGGGGGTGCCTGGAGTCTACTATAGGTTTGTGAACATGTGTGTATTTCCTTATGTCATGTGTCCGTCTAATATTTGAGAATGCTCTTTTCCCTTTTCTCTTACAACCCATCTTTACCTGACCAGTTTATCATGTCTCATGCACTTCTCTCATCTCTTTTTTAATTTCACAGCAAATTCATATGAATATAACAATCACTAATACTGGTCTAAACTCAGCTGCAATATTCAGCTCCAAGATCAAATCTCCACATTCTCGTCTTCTTTTCACCTTTTCTTCATTGTCATTTTTACTTTTCTCATTTATTATCTGCATTTTTTCCATCTCTTTTTCTCTCCCCCCTCCACTCTCGGTGATGTCTAGATTAAATATAATTTCCATTCCAAATTGAACTGATCCTAGATACAGAATGCTGCTCTGCACCTGCATAAAGTCATTTTATACATAATCATTTTCCACGTCATTTCATGCTCCACTCCTCTCTTCACCTCTGTTTTACTTAAACTATTTCTCCTCCTC